CTGTTGATGTTCCATTATATGACAAGAGTACTGTTGATGTTCCATCACATGACAAGAGTACTGTTGATCGTCCATCACATGACAAGGGTACTGTTGATCTTCCATCACATGACAAGGGTACTGTTGATCTTCCATCACATGACAAGGGTACTGTTGATCTTCCATTACATGACAAGAGTACTGTTGATGTTCCATCACATGACAAGAGTACTGTTGATGTTCCATCACATGACAAGAGTACTGTTGATGTTCCATCACATGACAAGGGTACTGTTGATCTTCCATCACATGACAAGAGTACTGTTGATGTTCCATTACATGACAAGAGTACTGTTGATGTTCCATTATATGACAAGAGTACTGTTGATGTTCCATCACATGACAAGAGTACTGTTGATCGTCCATCACATGACAAGGGTACTGTTGATGTTCCATTATATGACAAGAGTACTGTTGATGTTCCATTATATGACAAGAGTACTGTTGATGTTCCATCACATGACAAGAGTACTGTTGATCGTCCATCACATGACAAGGGTACTGTTGATCTTCCATCACATGACAAGGGTACTGTTGATGTTCCATTATATGACAAGAGTACTGTTGATGTTTAATCATATGACAAGAGTACTTGCGATGTTCCATCACATGACTAGACTACTTTGATGTTTCATCATTGTGAAGGCAGTAATTAAACTATTGAGGGTTTTACAAGTATTGTTAATTTGTTATTTTAGAATTACATAATACAGTCAACGGGTAACTGAATTTGGATCATTGTTATGGTTAGTACCCTATATGCTTGCCAAAGTTAAATTATTAATTACTTACTTTTTATTATTAGATACAGAGCACAGATAAACCATTGTGTAGCTTTGTGCTTAACTTCAAACAAATAGAAACGATTCGTTCGTGCATACTATTTCCAAGAAACTTTACGACAACTATCTATACACAGATTTTTAATTTTATTATATATGAAAACCTGACTTTTATTCAATCCGGAACGATCTGAAAATAATAGTTGTATCAAAAAATTTTACAAACTGGTAGAAATGTAAATACAGTTGATTATTCGACATTCAAGGGAAATTAAACACCGACAAATGTTGTTTATCTTGTATTTATCGTAGATCTACAAAAAATTAGAAGAAACCTAAATATATGAGACGAAAATGGATAGATAAATATTGAGAGAAATATAATTCAATCAACAAACAAACAGAAAAAGAGAAAGACATTAAATAGTAAGTTTTTTCTTGAAATACTGTACGTAAGTTTGACCAATGAGAACACTTGGAAGTATAAGATTCGTTTGTTTGTTTTAGCGCAATAATACACGATGAGCTGTCTTGCTCTCCGTCTACTCCCCTCTATAACGTCAGAGTCCCATTTCTTGATTTTAAATTTCTATTAATATAATATACTGAAAATGATTAGACTTGGAGGAACGATTAAGAAAAGATGTCTATAAACTTTATATATATATATACATATATACATACATACACTTTAACAGTATGATTGTCAGAGTGGACGGCTGGGTAAGGAAAAATCATCTTTTGTTCGTTTCATATTAAAGCTAGTAACCTAGACATTTTAAGTTTTATTATACTGCTCGTAAAAGTATGTGAAACTTAAAAGGGTGAAATACTGACATCAAGTGATAATATTTTCAGGCCAGGTTGCACCGGTTTAATAGACTGTTCTTATATTTCATATTTCTGTTTCATTAGAAGCAATTATCTTCTTACAACCGGATACAACCGATGAATAGTAGACTTAGATAAGAGAGATTATGAGTTTTAGCGCCCCTATTCGCTCATGATTGTATTTTTTTTTCTTCTTCCACATAAGAGGTTTGCGAATACAGATTACGTCCGATAAACAGTGTATCTTTAGCGCTGTGTGTATAAGTATTGTGTATTGTGTATAAGTCTCCGTTGTCTTGGAAATGTTTTTCTTTTTTATCAAAATAAACTGATGCTAAGTTAATTGAATGCAGCTTTCGGTTAATTTCACTCTTTATCTTTTAGTTAGTTTTAGCCTAATCTATTAACTTTAGCATCTAAACAAAGAAACAAAATCAAGTCACTGAGGGAAACCCAAGAGACATTCAGAAACGGATGCATATTAAAGTCTACGGAATACTCATCAGAATACTCAACATGTCTTCAGCCTTTTGACTCGGCAAAGCTTTGACCTAGTTTATAATAGAGATAACACTCATGTGTTTTACGTCAACTTTGTATCAGAATGTGAACTAATTGCATTAAAAGAGAAAAACTTTTTACCAGTGTTTTAGAAAGATTATATAACTATAATCAATTGAACCTGTTGTTTAAAACTGATCATCATGGCATTGGCTGTCGGCACGTTCAATACTTACACCAAATCGATTTCATCACAAACGAAGCGCTTTAAACAACAAACGTTTGTTTGTAATTAAGCACAAAGCTACACAATGGGCTATTTGTGCTCTGCCCACCACGGGTATCGAAACCCGGATTCTAGCGTTGTAAATCCGCAGACATACCGCTGTGTCACTGGGGGGCAACAACAAACGATTGACGTCTCTGATATACATCTTGTTACATCGAAAATTTCTAATTTATGCAACTCTAAAAAACAAATTTCAACCATAAGTAAATGTCGAAATTTAATCCCTATTAGCCCCCAGTGGCTCACCGTAAATCTGAAGGCTTATAATGCTAAAAACCAGGTTTCGATCTCCGTGGTGTGCACAGAAGAGAAAACCCATGCTGTATCTTTATGCTTAACTACAAACAAACAATTAGATTATCTTATAGTTGGTTTTGAATCTACAGAACATAAAGAAAGAATTAAATATAGTGTCTACTTTTTTCTAAAAGCAAGATAAGTTTGAACCAGGAGAAATAGTTTTAAATTTGGTATAGAAGAAAATGTAATTGAAATACCTCATCATAGCGTGTGATTGGAAGACCTAAAGAAACTTGGCATCCATTTCAAACATTGCGTATAAATTAAGTATACTATACCTTTTTTCAAATAAATCTACAAAACCAAGTATCTGTTATCAAGAAATACTTACATTTTCCCTGGGTAAAATAAACTGGAATTTTAGCGTTGTATTTAGTATTGAATTAAAAGCAAGTTTCAAGAAACTTAGTTCGAAAAAACGTCAAGTTAACGCTCGTTTGAAACTAAAAACCCGGATCCTAATGAATGTAAAAGTTATAAATATCCGTCATCGTTTTGAAAAAAACTTACTTTAGTCACAATACAAACACATTGTTGCCAGAAGATCTACTGTGTGATTTCCGTAGCGAGAATCCAATATTTAGACGTATAGTAGTTAAAGTGCTGGTGTTTTACATGAAAACAATAAAATACGGTATTCACAGCTAAAACTAGAACCAACAAAGAATAAATGAACACTTGAACAGAATGCAGGAAGAAGACAGAAACACTTGTGTCAAAACAACAACAACAAAAAACTTTCATTATATAAAAATAAACGTGCTGGAGGTTTTACTGTGGTTCTGACTGGCTTCGATGTAATTTTAGAAGAAATCTAGTTGTTACTGTAACTCTTATTATACATATTTGATAAATATACTGGAGGAAAGGTTAGTTTCCAGCTTATACTAACTTGCATACACCTCTTTGCCACTATACCGCTTGGGTATGGCTCACAACTCACGAGAAAAACAACACAGAAAGCTAATTAAACGAGTATATGCTGTATGGAATAACCATTGTTATATGTAACATTGCCAGATGCAAAAGTAGCATAAGTTTATGACTATTTGCATCTTCACAAGAATGTTAACTAAGTGTAGAATACCCGCAGGAAATATAAAAAAATATACCATAATAAAAATCCATGATTTTCTAATACAGAGGATAAAATCTACCACCAAAATAGTGTGTGAACTTATAAAGATAAAACAATAAATTATCAACGAACAAAGTTTTGCAACTATTAGACATATATTTCAACACAGTGACGATTCCTGTTAATATAAATCATGTATGTTTGTCTGGGAAAAAGGAAACGTTAATTGCAAATGCCTTCAAAATGATGTAATGTTTCCTGGCATGTATGTAAATGATGATCTGTGGACATTTTTAAATATCTCACTTTGACTTTACAAGATATAGTTTATCATGATGAATATCACCTAATTATTAAATAGCATGATCGCCGTAGGAAATAAGTAAATACAATTTATTTCAGAAATGATTGTGATAATTAGAAGGAGTGAAAAATGTGGAACGTTTAACCTAGAAATGATCAACTGTCTTCAAAAATGGGGGTGCAGCCTCATTTGAGAAAATCTTTAATAAGAGAATTTGGTTTGTTTGTTTTTAATTATGCACAAAGCTACACAAAAGCTATCTGTGCTCTGCTCACCACGGGTATCGAAACCCTGTTTCTAGCGTTGTAAGTCCGCAGACATACCGCTGTGCCACTGGGAGGCAGAGAATTTGGGAACACTATAATTTGGCGTATCCATCAGTGATTAAATGTTTTAATATCTGCTTGATTTTACTAAGATATGACTCACAGGAGCCCACCAGTGGCACAGCGGTATGTCTGCGGACTTACAACGCTAGAAACCGGGTTTCGATACCCGTGGTGGGCAGAGCACAGATAGCCCATTGTGTAGCTTTGTGCAGAACTACAAACAAACAAATAGACTCACAGGTTATGTGTAAAGCCAATGGTCAACTCAAAGATCAAGTGCAAGACAGATGATCAGCTCACGGGTTAACTGCAAGCAGATGGTTAACGTCAAGTTCATTGTCAGCAAATTAAACAAAAAAATACTTTAATATATTTCCCTTCTATCTTGTTTCTGTCGTTTTTGTCGATTTTAAAGATTTTATTTGTATTAACAGTTCTAATTTCTAGTTAAAACAAAGTCCCCTAGTGGGGGAGTGGTGAGTTTACAAACATGCAACGCTAAAATCCGGGATTCGATTCCCCGCGATAGCCATAGCTGATAGCTCAATGTGGCTTTGTTTTAAAACAAATAAACTGAAATAAATTAATTCGCTTAACCCCATTTTTAAATGAAATTTAAGTTAAATTTTGTTGTTGTTTGTTGAGTTTTCCATTAAACACTAAGTTATTTCCTGTTATGAGTGTCGGGCTGCTTGTACGTGTGACTTTAACTTGCAAATGTCTTGTTGTTTATAAGATAAACACCGAGAAAGATGACAACCTCCACAATTTATACTTATTCCCTCTTTGATAAAAATCTATATTTTAGGTGTATTTTCTGATAAAAATCTATATTTTAGGTGTATTTTCTGATAAAAATCTATATTTTAGGTGTATTTTCTGATAAAAATCCATATTTTAGGTGCATTTTTCTGATAAAAATCCATATTTCATGTGCATTTTTTAATAAGAATCCATATTTTAGTTGTATTTTTTTAAATCAAAATCCATATTTTAGGTGTATTTTTGGATAAGAATCCATATTTTAGGCGTATTTTGTACTGATGTTCCTTTTTGATTGTATGTAGCATTTGGTAACTTATACTTCTGAAAGGGATTTTAGTTCTCAGGTAACTCACACAAAAAATATGGCCGACGTTACAATATTTATTGGCGTAATTT